TTTTGAGTCTGGTCCTAATTAGCACTATTGGGTTTGATAATTATTGTAATAAGTGAATCCCCTCAGAGCTTGTGGATAATGAGTTTTCTGACTTTGTGTGTGTTGTTTGTTTGTGTGTCTGACAGAACTGGGTTTGGGGTAATGAGTGAAGACATCATGTTTGCACCTCACATTCATCTGTGTATGAAGAATTTATACATAAAAGTGTGCAGTAAAGGTGTGTGTGTGTGTGTGTGTGCGCGCGTGTGTGTGTGTGTGCGCGTGTGTGTGTGCGCGTGTGTGTTTGTGTTGGCTCTGCGAGGGACTCTGTTTAGTCCCCAGGGTATTTAAACCACTTTCCTATTAGTGTGCAAAGATGAGAAGAGATAGACGCCTTAATTTGCCGCATCAGGGATCCACAACCTGCTTCTCTGTGTTTCTCTCTACGCCTCTGTCTCACACAGACATTTAATCGCGGTGTTATGGGCTATTTATAGCTGCTAAATGTTCTTTAGTGTGTATGTGTGTGGTCTGAGTCAGGATCTTTGTGTGTGTGTGTGTGTGCGTGTGTGTGTGTGTAAAATGTTCGCTTCTCAGATCAATGTTATAGATCTGATCTTTTGTTGGCGCAGCTGGCTTAAATGTTCATCCAGCTGGGCCGCAGTGTGATTATTTGTGTGTATGTGTGTGTGTGTGTGTGTGTGATTATTTGTGTGTGTGTGTGTATTGATTATTTATAGCTGTTCCATTTCTTCTCCCTGCGGATCACTGATCACTGAGGCTGTCATTGTTGTTGTGCTTCTTTGAGTGTGTGTGATTTGCTTGTTTGTGGCAGACGTGTTCACGTATTCTCATCTAATGTCGACACTTTCCTGAATTCAGCCATATTAGTCTTTTTTGGTATTTTTTTGGTGGAGGGAAAGACAAAGGACACTGAGAGGAAGAAAGTACAGCATTAAATCTGAACACCAATGTTTGATTATGTAATGTTTTGGGCTGCAGCCAATGAGTATCTTCGTTATTGTTTAATCTTTCTTATTTTCTTGACTTATCAATGAATTTGCTTATGAGTAAGATGTTCTATATAGTGAAAAATGGCCGTCACAGTTTCTATAGAGCCCAGGGTGACGTCATTGGATGTCTTTTTCTTACTAATAGTCCGAAACCCAAAGACAGGACCAAATTCTCACATTTGCGAAGCTGTCAACAACTAATGTTTGGCATGTTCATGATAAACTACTCCAACAATGAATCTATTGCCAAACTTGTTGATTCATTTTGTGTTGATTAGCGAATCAGCCCTAGAAAGATTTGTTTATATAGACAGTAGGTGTGGGGTCTGTTGAACAAGTCCAGGAGTACAAAGAGCATACTAAAAGCACTACACACAAAATGTTGCCAACAGATTCTTAATATACAAAGAACGACACTTAATCCCTGTAGGCCAGGGTTACTGCTGCCATGGCTAAAAAAAAACAAAACCAAAAATAAATGGTCACAGCCAAACCGAAGCTTTCAAAATGACCTTGTACTTCTCTATATGAAATGCTTGAGAAATAAAACCAAATGTAAACCATGCTGTTGTTTCAATATATGTACTGGCAATGACTGGAGTGTCTGTAGTCTGTCAGAGGCTGCAAAGCAGAGAGAGATCCTGACAGCAGAGACGTGGCTGTCCAGTGAGTCAGTCAGGGGTCGATGCGAGATGACGGGAGGTGAAAACAGAAATGCACTTACTCTACTCTCTGCAGGGCACATGACGAGACATAATTCAGAAAGTATTGCTTGGAGGTTCTTTCTTTGATGTAAGTGATTATGAAAAGTTAATTATCTTAATGGGGGAAGGACTGATGATTGTGAAATGTGGTGTCTCAAAGCCAGAGGTTCTGAATAAATGGATGTGATGAATATGTAATAAATTCCCAGGCCCATTGCCATCTCTTACTGTAATTGACATACTGTATAAACACTTCTTTCTTTCTTTCTTTCTTTCTTTCTTTCTTTCTTTCTTTCTTTCTTTCTTTCTTTCTTTCTTTCTTTCTTTCTTTCTTTCTTTCTTTCTGTCTCTCTTTCTTTCTTTCTTTTCAATTTCTGCTGTCAAGTGTTACACCTGACACTTCACTGCTAACCTATAAATATCACAATCAGAGGGAATTGGGTGTAAACAGAGAGAAAAGGGCAGAAAAATGACCGCCAACCCTTTCACAATACAGCTGCAGCTCACACACACACACACACACCCACCCTCACCCTCACCCTCACACACAGTCCATTGTGCTGGACCAACGCACTCTCCTCCTCTGCCACATCCAATTCATTCAAATGGGGTTAAACAGCACATGTATGGTATCTGTGGTTTTAGATACATTAACCTCAGTGTCAAGGTCACATCCAGTGATAAAAGGACCTCATCTGTCTGCAAGCTGCTTTCGGTGTCACACCGTCGGTCACCGAGGTGGTCTGTGTGTGCTGCTGCTGCTGAATCAGACTATTCTAATGTGTTTAAATACTTCCTGGAAGACCCCTTCAAGGCCTGAACCAAGGGTAGAAAAAAATGCTGTTGTCAGCTCTGTGCGTGTGTTTCTGCAGCACTGTAACAACGTGTGGTGAAGAGATTACTGTGAGTTGTTGTGGTGGGTGTGGTTCTTAATACATGCTTGAGAGAGGAACCATGTGTGTACTGAAGATTGTACAGTAGGTTGTTTTTTGGGCTGTGTGTGTCTTTGTGGTGTGCCCATTATCCCTACAGCAGCTGTATGTGGTTGTTGGGGATTTCTCTGGCTTTGTATGGCTTTATACAGTATGTGTGTGTGTGTGTGTCTTTGTTGGAGCATCCCAAAGGGAGGTTCTAGTGTGGTCTCAGTGTGCGGGGGAGTTGATTTGCATCCCCTGAAGATTGAACAGGGGGGTGGGGTTTAACATGTGGAGAGGTAGACCCATGCTCCGATACTGCTGGCTCATGGCTTTTTCCACAGCTTAAAGTGATTACCTCTCCACTGTGTCCACAGTGTACCTCTGAAAGCCTAAGATTAACACAGGGGCCCATGCGACAGATCTTCTGTTTTATGTACATTGTGTTCTGTGAGAACAACATTAGAGCCACAGTTTTCTCACAGTTCAGCAGCACTGCGGCACAAGGATGTAAAAAGTGTCACTTCTTGAACAGCTGCATCTCCATTAATCAGCCACCCGTCTTGCCTGCGGAGCTTTCTGCCTTTCCGCTCGCAAACAAGTTAAAACGGGCCTAAATTTAAATACGCGGCCCTCATTCTGTCAGTGAGTTCAAAGATGTTGCGCAGTGACTGCTTTCATTTGGACTCATCTTATCAGGGATTATTTTACAACTGAAATGTCAGGTGAAAAGCAATTAACTGCAGTGAACTACCTGACAGGATGGAAAGCCCAGCAGAACTGTGAGTCCTGTGCAGCAGGATTAACAGCAGCTGTAATAATGACTTAGGAGCCAAAGTCTGCCTTATCATCATCGGTGGCCTTACTTGCACTAGTTTTTCTCAGAACTGTCCATTTTATGCCTCATCACTCAATTTCCACACGCTCTCTGTCTTTGTAAATCAACTGCACAAACAGATGTTGCTGAATGGGCTTTGTCCTCATGGTTGTTCTTCCTTGTTCTTACAGATTTCTGTGAAGTCGTGGGAATGTCTTGTTTGCCTTTTGTGTATCAGACCACGGATTGAAGACTGCTCTATTTTCCTCTGGCAGTCAGTCAAAGTGAAGTTACATTTTACTGCCCCTTTCAGATTGATGTAGTGACTTGGCATAAACCTGTGACTGATAGATTGCATCATGTCACCTGTTTTATTTACACGTCTGACAGTAAAAAATGTAGATTTTTATTTAGGTACTATAAAATTACTATGTAGTAAAGGTTCTTGCCGTCTCAATCGTACACACCCTGTTCCTCTCAGTGGCAGAGACAACTTCATTTTCTTTTTATTTCAGTTGTCCAATCAACTTTTTATAAGGTGACCCCATAATAAAGAGAAATCATACATATATTTAAACCCACTTTTAAAGGGGAACTCCACTGTTTTTACACACCAAAGTCCGTTTACAGGTTTTGTGGAGTACTTAGTTGTATAATGCCTCTTGTGGCTCCATAGGGAGCGCCGCAAAGTCTGATAAATTGCCTTAATTGATATCACTTGAGTCAGCGTTGGCTGGGGCTAAAAATACAAAAATGAAAGAAAATGAAAACAATTGAAAATGAAAGAAATCTGGTGGTGTGGAGTTAGAAAGAAGGGAGCTCGCACATCATTAGCTCATACTAGCATAACACACCAGAATCTGTACAGTTGAGTGATGTGGGTTCAGTTGCATTGTGGGTAATGTAGGCGTGATGAGGAAGAGGAATGCGTGAAATACAGAAGAGAAAATCTTTGGTTCTGTTGCGGTGATTTTGATCCTTTTTAGAAAACTGTCCTCCATGATTCCTGTTATACAGCAGGAGTGCAATGCTGAACTGGCAGAGTCCCTGTGTTTGGAGGATCAAACTCTCAATGTAGTGGATGCATGTAGTAATAATATGCTAGCCCAGGTTGATGGTGAAGTAAAGGATGTCGTTATTGTAGAAACAGCAGAAAACACAATTACAAATGATTTTCTTGCCAGAGCTGTGTCTGATTAAATGTCTACTAGAATAATACGGTACTTTTTAAAGCCACATTTATTAGATAGATTTATTATTTCACAGTCTTGGTTTAGATGTGGACATCTTCCCATTAACTCTTTATAATATGCTCTCATACTCTCATTGTTTCTTGTTTACACTTGTGCACGTGAAATTATCAAGAGGTCTAAGGGAGCATGTGTAGTCTGTGGATCAGATTGTCACGCTTGATCTACGCGGTGCATAAACATATTAAAACACTCCAGGCGCAGTCACAGTCAGCGACCTGTCTGCTGAGTTGTGTGACTCATTTCACATGTTGTAATTTATGATCGTTTAATCATGTCATCAATTCACTGCGCGTCTCTTCTCTCCCGTCGTCTCCTCCCAGGATTCGTCCTCAGATGGCCAAGGAGAAGATCGAGGGCTGCCACGTGTGCACCTTGGTCACACCTGGAGAACCACAAGTTCTGCTGGGAAAGGACAAGGCCTTCACCTATGACTTTGTGTTTGACGTCGACTCAGAGCAGCACCGGATCTACCAAGGCTGCGTGTACAAGCTCATCGAGGGCTGCTTCGAGGGCTACAACGCCACCGTGTTCGCCTATGGCCAGGTATGACAGCGAGTCTTGGATCCTGTTTTTTGTGATTAATGAATGAAATACAGATCTGTTGTAGTTGTTGTGGTTATTTATGAGTTTTTATTAAGTTTATATATCAGTTTTTATTTATCATTTTATTAACTTAGTTTTTACCTAAGCAACCTGAATTCCCTTCCCAATCCTGTAGGAGCTATACTGTACATTTAACATTAGTCAGGCGAATTTGACAGATGGTAAACATAGCTGCATCCTTGACACACAGTTAATGTAGAGCCAATGGGTTTTTAAGTCAGACCTTCTGGGCTATCTTGGAATCTTAATTCCTCATTTAAAAATACAAATAAATATGACAAATTAAAACTTACCAGGATGTTATTTCCCACAGTCTGTAGTGGGTGGTGACACAGGGTTTATAAATCATCCTCAGTCAGTCATAATCATACACTACACTCCCAAACCTAATGTTGAATCTTGAATGTAAAATATGTTTTGTGTGACTGTATTTAATGTTTCTACATTTGTTGAGAACTTAAATTCTGAAATTTCTTTGTAGCGAGGTACAGCAATCCTCTAGAGGCTGCTCATCTTTATTCTTATTAGAAACCTGATGATGACATAGCCATATTGCAGTACATATATGCCTCATTACTTCTTTCTTATTAGAAGTTTGGTTAACTGGCATTAGCTGCTGATAGGTGCATATAAAACAAAATTACACGTAAGAAGGATAAAATTAGATCTCATTGTGGTTGATGAAATGTGTTTCAGACGGGTTCGGGGAAGACCTACACCATGGGGACGGGCTTTGACGTGAATCTGACCCAGCAGGAGCAGGGTATCATCCCTCGGGCTGTTCACCAGCTTTTTGAGGGAATCCAGAACAGGAAAGTGCGCGCCCAGGAAGCCGGCACCCAGCCACCCGAATTTAAAGTCAGCGCCCAGTTCCTAGAGGTGGGCGACACACACGTGTAGAAGTGTATGGATGTACAGCACATGTTCAACCGCGCTGTGACAAAGTTTTACGTGTTCTCACATTTTCATGGGGCAGTGTTGATATTCTTGCTTGCAAAGGCACATCTGCGCATGTATGTGTGTGTGTGTGTGTGTGTTTGTGTGTGTGTGTGTGTGTGTGTGTGTGTGTGTGTGTGTGTGCTGGGATCGGTCCACATTAACTCTAACCAGATGGGGCAAAACAGTGAGTTGAGGGGATCAGCCCCCTATTCCACAAACAGGAAGCGACAGCCTGATGACAGATGGGCAGGAATGTCTGCTTGTGCTTTGTTGGACCTGATTAATGTCGGCCATTACCTCTGACATTATTCCTCATCACTGCGGGGTAGAGGATGGATAAGAGCGAGGGAGGAAAGGGAGGGAGGGATGCTTGTGTAGGACCAATGAGATAATATGACAAGTAATGATTTCCTCCAGAGGTTCCTGTCAAATGTTTGGGTTGTCTTTAGGGGGAGATGATTGTATATGTGGGTATCTGTAAGATGTGATTCCTTTAATAATCTTTCTGTAAAACCAGTTCCAATAGAAAAACATAAATCATTTTTCTTTCTTGCTTTCTTTGTTTTTTTTCTGCCGGTCCTGGTCTCTGTTATTAGCAGTTTTTTTTTTTTTGTAGGTCCTCAGGTCAAAAGGTTATCTCTGTTGATGGTAAACAGATGGGTGTGTGTGCATGTGTTTGGCAGTAGGTGGGAACAGCTGAGCTTTCAGCTGACCTCTGTGGCCCTTGCCCTCATTGGTTTTTGAGAGGTCATTCACTGACCTCTCAGACGGCAGAGCTGTGTGTAAATAAGACACACTGCTGTGAGAAACGGAGAACATGAGGAGAACATTAGAATTTGCTCAAAAGATGTAATGAATTCTACAGTCAATACATAAATCTTTAAGTTTATTGATTATGGTGATGCGTGTATTGCAGCAAATGTGTAATTGTTAATGTGCATTAAATTGCGTTTGTGACTCTCGTTTATTGTAGTTGTACAATGAAGAGATCCTGGACTTATTTGACGGAGCCAGAGATCCAGAGAGTCGGAGCAGGAAGTCCACAATTAAGATCCATGAAGACGCCAGTGGCAGCATCTACACCACCGGAGTCACATCCAGACTGGTACACTCAGAGGAAGAGGTGGGTGTGCGTGGGCATTTGTGCGACATCTCTAGTCGTCACAGTTATATTTTATCAGTCTTTTCCTCAATATGTTTCTTCTTTGTGCACTATATATTCTAAAACAGTTATATCTCTGCTACCGTTTCTTGAAATGATTAAACTCATAAAGGACATGTTTGCCATTCAGAGATGTTTTTCACCCCCTACACTGCTATTACTTGGTCTACATTTGTTAATAAATGCCTAGTCTAGAATTTCAAAATAAGAACTGAGAGCTTCTGTTTTAGCCTAAGAGGGTGAATCATGTAAGAGTAAGGGGTATCGCCTTGCAAAGGGGTCAAGTGTGAAGAAGTGAATGAGTGTTGACTGGGTGAAGCAGAGCATCAGCGCAACCAGAGCAAGCCTAGAAATGTCTGGCAAGAACTTCTGGACCGATCAAATAGGTTGAGGAGAGTATGAGATGTATGAAGTTTGGCTCCCATTAGAGGCTTTTTTACATACAGGGGTGAGTAATGGTTGTCAAGAAGAGGAACTGATCATCACAGTCAGTGTGGAGGAAGAAGGACATGACAGGGTCAATAGGGCAGGAGCAATATCTGCTCGTGGAGATGTGATGAGCCAGTGGCAAAGAGCTTAACAGAGGAGACAGGTGGTGATTTAGGCCTAAACAGTGGCTGGGAAAAGACAACCACTTGTGTAGTATCATCAGGTTTCTTCTCAAAATAGGTGACAGAGTAGGAAGAAAGATGTGAGCAAATTTTTAAATGGAAGCAGAAAGGAAGAAGAAATTGGGAGGCAAAGCAGGCTGTGCCACTTTTGTCTTAGCTGCTTTAAGCCTGGTGCATCACATTCCCAACACTTCAGACAGCTGAGGGACAAGTGGAGACAGATGGCCCCTCCTGTGGGAGAGAGGAGGGAAGATGTCAAATCAGGATGAGGGTGGATGTGATGGAGTCAGAGGGCAGAGACAAGAGGAAGAGGAAAAAAAGGAAATGAAATAGTGGGCAGAAAAGTAAATATATTACTATTAGCAGCTTCTTAAACACGCAGCTCAAAAAGTAGAAAGGTTGAAGTCACCTATATGAGTGGTTTCCCTTCATAAAATACGCTGACATGGGTGTTTCAGTGATCATTGTGATGCAAAATAATTTTTTTCTCTTCTTCAGTTCAAAGTAAAAAGTCATGACCAGATGTCCTCCACATTGTTTGTATGTGTGTGTGTGTGTGTGTGTGTGTGTGTGTGTGTGTGTGTGTGTGTGTGTGTGTGTGTGTGTGTGTGTGTGTGTGTGTGTGTGTGTGTGTTCTGCAGCTGCTGCAGTGTCTGAAGCTTGGCGCTCTGTCCCGTACCACAGCCAGCACCCAGATGAATGCCCAAAGCTCCCGCTCACACGCCATCTTCACCATCCACCTTTGTCAGATGAGAGTCTGCCAGCAGCTGCAAATGGTGAGGTTTGAGGTTGGGGATGGAGGGTGAGGTGGGTGCAATGACAGTTTCATTAATGACACATTTTAGGTAAAAATCTGTCAGGGTGTGAAAAAGAAAAGCGTATATTTTGGGTAAAAAAAAGAAAATTAAGTGTTATAGACATAGCAGCATTCAGGGTGATGAAATAATTGCTATTTTCTAGTAATATTTGTTTTTTTCCCCTTTTTGTCCACGACCGCTAGCAGAACGGAGGAGGGGAGAACGGGGAGGTGAATGGTGTGGAGTCCAGCCCCATCGCCCAGCCGGAGTTTGAGACGCTGATGGCCAAGTTTCACTTTGTGGACCTGGCCGGCTCTGAGAGGCTCAAACGCACAGGAGCCACAGGAGAGAGAGCCCGCGAGGGAATCTCTATCAACTGTGGACTGGTGAGACAGAGGCAAATAGACTTTGTGTGTGTGTGTGTGTGTGTGTGTGTGTGTGTGTGTTCATAAGTGAGCGGTGTGACAGAAAATGTGTAAAAAAAAAAAAAATGGAAGTATACATAAGTTCCTCTACTATGTGCCTGTACTCACGTATTTAAACACAGTGCTTACATACAGAACTCTGTTCTGCTTTTATGTTTTCTAAACAGTTTCTAAATGTGTGTGTGTGTGTGTTGTAGCTGGCCCTGGGAAATGTGATCAGTGCTTTAGGAGATCAGACCAAGAAGGGAGGGCATGTCCCCTACAGAGACTCCAAACTCACTCGTCTGCTGCAGGATTCACTGGGAGGCAACAGGTGTATATACGCGTACACACACAGTTTATGTTATAGATTAAATGTTTATCTATTCAAGCAAAATACCAAAAAATATGAAGAAAAATATTCCAGCCCCTCTAAACTGAGGAGTTGCTGCTTTTCTTTACCATATTTGATCGTCAATTGAAAATCTTTGGTCAGATAAAACAAGACATTTGAATAAGTCAGTCTGGGCTCCGTGAGATTATAATGGGAATTGTTCACTACTTTCTATCATGTTATAGACAAAACGGTCCATCAATAATGAAAATAATTGTTATTGCAGTCTTGGTTCTCAGGTTTAGTTACTGACAATAGTTTTTTCACACACAATAGATGCATAATAAGTATTAAATGTGTTTCTGTTATGCTCATGTTAACAACAAGACAACAAGACACTCAGGTACAACCTCAGCATTCTCCCTGTACTGCATGAACAACAACCTACAACCTTCATCTTTTTTTCATCTCCAGTCGTACAGTGATGATAGCCTGCGTCAGTCCATCAGACCGCGACTTCATGGAGACGCTGAACACACTGAAATACGCCAACCGCGCTCGAAACATCAAGAACAAGGTGGTGGTGAACCAAGACAAGACCAGCCAGCAGATCAGCGCCCTGCGTGCTGAGATAGCCCGACTTCAGATGGAGCTGATGGAGTACAAGGCGGTGAGAGATGGAGGGGAGGATGGGAGTCAGGAATGCAGAAAGATTTGAAAAAATAAAGACAAGGAGGAGCTCAGAGAAAAAGATAAGAGGGGATGAATGAGAGGGGGAGAAGAGATGAGGAATGAAATGTGGCAGGTTGAAGAGGAGAGTTAACACATGGCTGTCAGTGTAACTGATGCAATGAGGCCGTAAGAGAAGGATGAATGAAAGTGACAAGATGGATGAAACTGAGAATAGTAACGGAGCACAAGAAGAAAAAAGACGACATTAATTGTAAGAGAAGATGGTATTAAAGGAAAAGCAGACGCCATGCCTGCGGCAGCAGCGTATAACTATATTAAATTAAAGATCATTACTGCAACACACATCCATTTATGTCTTATACTATAGTGCAAACAACCTGAGTATGAAGGAGATAAATTGGTGCAACCTCAGCATTTTGCAATGTAATGCAGGGATAAATTGATCCTGCAGCTCAATGTATTGTATGTGTTCATCAAGTAATACGCACTGTTAGACAGTACAACACAGAGAGGTACTGTATATGATACAAGAAAATATGACAAGAAATAGGGAGAAAAACAAATGCAGGAAATTCTCCAGTTTTTCATCATCTTTGACTTCCGGGGCTACAAGAAACAAGCAATCATTTAGCTGGATTGTCGGTCTGTTGTGCGATTACGAAGGTTACCACGGTTACTAGAGGGAAGTGAATGTATGTCTGTGGCAAGGGACTTCGGGCTGACCTCGATGTGGTAATAAGGGATGTGATGTGACTGGAGTATGGGAGGACTGGCGTGTTGGACTGGTGGAGGTAATGATGTCTGCGAGCTGTGACTGGATTAAATAGTGACTGTCTGTTTCGAGGCTTACACAACGGGATTTTTTCAGTGTTCAGTCATCCAGAATACAACAATAGCTACTTGAAGAGCCACACACTGAGCAGCTCATTTTAAACAATAGCATTGTGTTTGGTTGGACAGCCACAGTAAGTGTATGTAAGAGCATAGATTTAGAGTCAGTTGGTTTTCCAGCCCTGGGCCTCTTGGTTTTGGCCCTAAAATTGACTCTTCTTCTTCATGCAGGGGAAGCGTGTTGCATGTGAGGATGGTTCAGAGGGGTTCAGTGACCTGTATCAGGAGAACGCCATGCTGCAGAGAGAAAATGACACGCTGCGCCTCAGGGTAAAAGCCATGCAGGAGACCATCGACCATCTCAACACCAGAGTGACACATCTGCTGGCCAATGAGGTCAGCACTCTACTGACCAAGTCAAGTACGTGAGAGCGATGTGTAATTGCTTTAAATGTCTATGCACCCCACATGAACTCTTTGTCTTAAGTTCACTGTTTACTGAGCCAACTTTAACCTTTGACCTCCAGATGAGGGCAATGAGGAGATCGGGGCTCTGATCCAGAACTACATCCGAGAGGTTGAAGAACTTAGGTGAGATCTCAAAAACCTACACCATCACTTCAAATAATCAAACCTCAGTCTCAAACTGGATCAGCTTACTTAGGGAAATACGTTAATGCACTTTCTTGCTGAGTAAGATAAGAACATTGATAGCACTTTCATACCTATTCAGTATGTAGCTGAAGCCAGCAGGCAGTTAGCTAAGCTCAGCAGAAAGAGTGGGAGCAGGGGAAACAGCTAGCCTGGTTCTGTCTGTAGGTACAAGAAACCCACCTCTAAAGTTCAATAATTAATATGTTATATCTTGTTTGTTTAATCCATACAAAAAAATGTGTAAGAGTGGTGCTTGCTGTTTTTCCCTGCTTTATAGTTTTAATGCTAAGCTAAGCTAAGCATATCCTGGCTGCAGCTTCATATCGAATGGACAGGTATGAGAGCGGTATCAGTTGTCTCATCTAACTTGAGTATTTACCAAAGTGGAATCTGTTTGTATTGAGTTGCATGGTCTGTACTTGGGTGTAATACCGCCATTTTTCCCCAGCGAATCCTCTCTTTAAAGCAAGACTGTGTAACTTTTGCTGAACAGTAGCCACTGTGAAGGCAAGTGACAGTTACTGAATAATGGTAAATGGTAAAATGTAGTGTTACGGCAGCACAAGAGGAGAATAATGATAAATTCAGTGAACTGACTCATTGATGTCAGTTTCACAGCAAAATCTTTAGATAGCTAAAAGTTAGCTAAAATAAGTTTTCGCAGGCTACTGGTCAGACCAGACCGAGTAAAGCTATAGTGGTGAAACTGCTTTTTGTTTGTTGAATGCAAAATGTACGTCTTCTTTTTTATTTAATAATCTCAAAAATAATCAGAACTAGCTGCTTTAATTAGAGTGTGCTAAGTCTGTTTGAATGTTGTGTTTTATTTCACAATGAATTTTTTTCCTTCTCAAAATGAAGCAGAAGGAAAACATGAAAAAATGAGTGAAATAAAAAAAAAAAAGTATTATCTATTATCTATTTTTTCCTTCTCTGTTCCGTCCTCTCTCCTCTGTCAGAACCAAGCTTCTTGAGAGTGAGGCCATGAATGAGTCGCTGCGACGGCAGGCGGCCCGGCTTTCCTCCCGTTCACCGTTCCCCTCTACTCTCAGCCCCGCACCGGGCCATCCCCCTGGCTCGTCTCCTGCCCCAATGTCCATGGAGGCCGAGATGACAGACGTGTTACGCCGAGCCAAGATGGACATCGAGAGGCTGAAGAAGAAGGAGAGGAGGCAGAGGAGGATGAGGTGAGGAGAGGAGGATGCATGCAAGATCACAATGTTATTTGCTAATTGCAAAAAGTTTTTTCAGTAGAAAACAAATCACAACGTAAGTTCACAGAGGTCCAAGGAGCTGTCATGTCTTAATATCTCCGAACGTCTCAGATTTATGTAACTTTAATTTCTCAGTGCTCCCTTTAATCCTGTGTCAATGAACCTGTGCATCTTTTAAAAGCTGAAAGACCACAATGAGCTCATTAATGTTCCTGCCCATATACTCTTCGCCCCTCATTGTCTTGTCCAGCTTAAGAGGCACATCACAAGTCGATTAGGGCTTTGGGACGGCCAGCTCCTGAACAGAATTGGGATGCAGCCAGTGCTGAGTAGTAACGCTGGCCTGGACACAAAAAGGTCTAATTCAGTCGGCCAGTGGGTCATGGGAGAGAAGAGTACACAGCCTGACAGGCTAATTGAGGTTTAATGGGATAGAGATGGAAGTAGATGGGAATTTAGAGATGGGAGGGGTGGCAGGGTGGTTGTAAAAGAGGGTGCGAAGGGGAGAACAAAGCTGGTAATAAAATGTAAAGAGCTAAAAGGGCGAGATGAGGGAAGATGAGCTGAAGACGACTTTGCTAATGACTTTAGAGGGCTGATTTTACCAGGAGCGTATCTCATGGCAACACTCCCAAAAGCCCTAATGGTGGATGTTAGGAGTGTGGGACATCTCACTTGCATAAAGCAGAGTGTCTCTACAGGGTAATGTACAGAAAACCATTTGGGATACTACTGTAGTTGAACTGTACACACACATGCCCACACCCATACTAACCTACTGTAACAAGTGTTAGGGTTTTGTGTGTTTTTTTCACCACCGGTTTTAATCTGGCTTGACCAACATGATTTTGTCCTCCTGCAGTCCGGAGCTGGAGAAAGGTCTGAAGAAGCGAGTGAAGCTGCACACTCACGAGAACGGGGAGAATGGGCAGAATGGAGAAAATGGGCAGAATGGACAGAACGGAGAGATCGATTCGGATGACAATTACACCGAGGTAAAGTGCAAATTTGTCAACAGTCATAAGCATTTCAAGCCTGAAACTAACAGATTAAAGTCTAATGTCAGTGTTTGTGTGTGTGTGTGTGTGTGTGTGTGTGTGTGTGTGTGTGTAGGACATTATGTCTCCGCTGCAGGAGGAGAGTGGCTGTGATGAAGATGAGGGGGAGGACGAGGAGGAGGGCAGGGAGGAGGAGGACGAGTTTGACAGCGACGAGAGCCTGGTGGATTCAGACTCAGACTCAGATGAGAAAGGTCTGTTTCTGACAGCTGCTGCTACAAAAGGACCGGGCCTCCTTTCCCTTTTATGTCCTGTTTTGTGACAGGTTGTCCTGCTTTATCTCTTTCTGTCAGGACACCTTTTAAATGTTTTTAAAGAAAAATGAGTCAGTTTAGGCCTGAAGTCAGTAAGAATAAAAAACAGACTTTGGAGTGTGGCATTTTTCTTAATATACAAATACACAACACATAAAAATATAGATTGTGTTTCTGACCTTCGCCCCCAACCTACAGCTAACTTCCAGGCAGACCTGGCTGACCTGACCTGCGAGATCGAGATCAAACAGAAGCTGATAGACGAGCTGGAGAACAGCCAGCGGAGGCTGCTGATGCTCAAGCTGCAGTACGAGGAGAAGCTCATCCTGCTGCAGAACAAGATCAGAGACACGCAGCTGGAGAGAGACCGCGTGCTTCAGAACCTCAGTGAGCACCATGGGATTTATAGTGTACAGATATGGTTTGGTAGCTGAAAACACAGGAATATGTTGATCAGTAGAAAAGTAAAACGTGTCCTGAAAACAGGTCATTAACATTACTATGTGGCTCCACAGTGTCCATGGAGAACTACACAGAGGAGAAGGCAAACCGGATCAAGCAGGAGTACGAGAAACGTCTTAAGGAGATGAACCGCGACCTGATGAAGCTACAAGCGGCACAGAAGGAGCATGCGCGTCTCCTCAAAAACCAGGGGAGGTACGAACGGGAGCTGAAGAAACTCCAGGGCGAGGTCAACGAGATGAAGAAAGCCAAGGTAAAGGGAGGAGAAAGGAGAGTCGGAGTGTGGATAAAAGTCACTTTTTCAGCGGGAGTGCAGTTGAGGAAGCCTGACCTTTTATGCTGTTTCCAGGTGACACTGATGAAGCAGATGAAGGAGGAGCAGCAGAGGAGGAGGATGGTGGAGGCGAAGAGGAACCGTGAGATCGCCCAGCTCAAGAAGGAGCAGCGACGACAGGAGGTCAGTCTGCATGTGTGTTTATGTGTCTGGCATATTGGTGATATTTTTACTCCACACAGTTCCACTGAAAACTAGATATTAGAGATGTATGAAACATTTAGCACACACATTCCTCTGGTATTATGTCACATGCACAAATAAAATTATTGGGAAACGGAGAGAGAGTGAGAGTGAGCATTAGCCAACAGTATGAGTGATGCTGTACAGTTTATACAGTGGTCCAAATTCAAATGTCAGAGAATTCTTACATGTGTATAAATGCACAGTGAGGTCTTCTTCTTGAAATCTGTTTTATAATATCATGTACATACTGCACACAGATTGTTGGTATCACTTTTATATTTTGGAAGATCAGTACATAGTGTACTTGTATCAGTATCCATCCTTATTTGTTTCCCCCGGAGAAGAGAGTCTATTAATGAGCATGAAAACATTTACACCGTCACACTGTGCCTCATTCCTAATCCTTTTATTTAGGGTTCCATGTTAAGTCTTAAAATCCTTTTCATGATCAACACCTTGTAAGCCTGTTGTGCAAAACACTGTCATATTCACCTCAGGAATCTAATTAACATGTGAACAGGAATAAACAAAAGTAGATTAAGTAGACTCTAATGAACATATTAAAGAAAAGTCTCTCTCTCTCTCTCTCCTGTCCTTCAGTACCAGATTCGAGCACTGGAGTCTCAGAAACGGCAGCAGGAGCTGGTCCTGCGCAGGAAGACGCAGGAGGTCACGGCCCTGCGGCGCCTGGCCAAACCCATGTCAGACCGCGTGGCTGGACGGGTGGCCCGCTGGAACCAGGCAACCGCGGTTACGGACTCTGGAGCCGAGTTATCAGCCAGCACCACAGCAAGCAGCTCTGAACCCGAGACCGGGAGGACTGTGAGCGGGCTGGTGAGACAGTGGAACAATAAGAACAATGTGTTCGGATACCTGGGAGAGAGCGAGGGGAGCATAGATGGAACCAGAGTCATTGGGTAAGATGGGCGGGGATGCATGTATTGTCACTGGTCAGTTAGCTAGTCAGCCAGCATTGGAGCTATGGACTTTTCCTGTTGACCTTTAACTTAATGGATAAAGTTTAATTCAGTTTCATAAGCATAAATTGCTTTGTGAGCTATTAATGAAGTCAGAGAAGACTGTAATTTGGTTTCTTGATATAATGAAGTACAATCTATGCAAGTGAACAACACACACACTTCCTTGTTAGTGGGAGTAATGGCTGCTGATTTCCATCTCTCATCACCTCTCTCTTTCTCTTTCTCTTTCTCTTTCTCTTTCTCTTTCTCTCTGTCTCTTTCTCTTCACAGCAGCAGGAAGAAGTTGCAGCGTAAGCCAGCAGGCCTGGGCAGCGTTGGAGCCGCAGGCAGAGCCAGCAGCTTCTCCAAGTCAGCCCGTCAGAAGTGGCAAGCCCTCGAGCGTCGCATCATGGACATTGTCATGCAGAGGATGACCATCGCTAATGTGGAAGCTGATATGGATCGCCTGATCAAGGTAGGAGATTTTTTTGTTAAATTCTGACAATGTATTGTGATGCAATTAGCCAAAGCCAATACACAATGTGAGATGCATCCTTCTTCCTTGCTTCAAATAGTGTATAGTATATGTACATATAAAATCTTGACTATTTTTGCTCTGTCTGCATTTGTGTTTTTGTTGAGTCAGAAGCGAGAGGAGCTGACGGTCCAGCAGGAAGCACTGTCACATAAAAGGGAGGTACTGATGGCGGAGGGGGAGGGCCCAGAAGCAGAGGACCGTCTCCTTCAGGAAATTAATGAGGAGATTGAGGTGCTGAACGCCAATATAGACTACATCAATGACAGCCTGTCTGACTGCCAGGCCACCATTGTACAGATAGAGGAGACCAAGGTACAAGCGCACACACACACACACACACACACACACACACACACACACACACACACCTTTGTGTAGCAGTATCAGGAGGCCTCAAATAATGCCTGGTTTTGCATTTTCCCACAGGATGAACTGGACTCAGTGGACACCTCAGTGGTGATCAGCTCCTGCTCCCTGGCAGAAGCACGCCACCTGCTGGATCACTTCCTGAAGGCCTCCATAGACAAGGTGAGTTAACAGAAAAAAAATGCACATACTGACCTACGGTAACTGATAAATATAGTTAAGTGCCAGTACTTGAAGTATTTTACACTTTGTTTAAATTCAGTAAACTGAAAATGATGTTTTACTGTTAACATATTATGCTACTGGCAAAAATCATGTTATTTATATTTATTGATGTTGCAGTGTACTGCACTCAGTGAGTGAGTGAAGTGCAGGTGCAGTGAGTAGTGGTTGTGGTGCCATCTAGTGGTGTCTCTTTGTGCTGCAAGTTGTTGTCAAGGGTGTATTTCTTGGTACAAAGGGTCATTAAAGGTTCTGTAAATGATTGTCGCTGCCACTAGATGTTGTACAAGACCACCAGCATCTCAGGCCAAAACAAATTCTTTGTCGGCCACAACTCCCCCCTCCCTTCACGTTCTCAGTCAGCAAGGTGTTACAAAGCCCAGTGAAAGCGACCACTAAACACACAACAAGTAGAATTGGATAAAGTTACTCTGTGTACACAAGAGCCATCAAAAAAATCCAGCCACAACCATTAGCCCAGGCTAGCATTATTCTCCACGGCAGTGCTGGCAGTAAGTCAGCTACTGATAGCGGCTAGTTGCTGCACAAATGACGCCGATGGAGTCGGTAAAAACTTTATGGATGTCTTGATGGGCCACTGGCCAACTGGGGTTTGAGCCGGCAGTCCCCACAGTCTCACCTGATTTCTTTGTTAGAGGCTTCTTAAGCTGTAAAACAAGGTTTCTTCGGTGATGGACAATGTGGTTTAACTCAACTAAGATGCAAGTGCTGCTGTCCCAGAAACCAAAACAAAGAGCAGAGAAACTCAGATTACAACACATACAGAGGGGGTGTGACTTTATTCTCGGCTCTGGATGCCAATACTCCACTATATCTTTACATAGAAAATAGTTGTTTGCTGCTATATTACTGTTTAAAATCTTGTTTACAGAACCTTTATATATCTTTCAGAAAATGAAAACAACTATATTTACCAGGTTGTCTTATTTCCTGTTGCGTGTTGAATACCCACTCTAAAAATTTAGTGTTACATTAATTCCACTGTGCATCATCATTTCTGAACTTGTTTGGTTATATTGTGTGTGTGTGTGTGTGTGTGTGTGCAGAGCTTACAGGTGGCTCAAAAGGAGGCTCAGATCAGACTGCTGGAGGGTCAGCTGAGACAGACAGACATGATTGGCTCGTCCCACAATCACATGATCCTTGATGCCCTGCGAGAAAAGGCAGAGTACATCCCCGAACTCCAGGCTCTCATCCACAATGTACAGCAGGGTGAGGAGTGTTTCCTCTCTCTCTTCCAGTTTGTGTCGATTCACTTGTTTACACAGCACGTTAACATGTGAGCCTCGTTTTGGGATGAAATTTTGTATATGAAATTATGGAAGACTGTTATCATTACTTGCTGAACCATATTGACTTCATTTAAACCATACAGCACACCTCTAAATACATTACCAAATACAGTGAAGTTTCAGACCTCTCTCTCACTTATTTTTATCCTTGTTGTTGTGTCGTCTTTTCAGCAATGTTTTGATATATGAGAGCACAAAATCTGCTTAGAAATTTAAACTTTAATAATGACACTTAATCAGCCTTAGAGGATATATTAAAAATGAAATTAGTAGTGAAGGATATTAAATAGTGGTAGTGGAGCTGAGTTGACATACTGTACAGACATACCTAGAGGGAGTGTCTCGTGGGCTTACAAGTTGTGTGTTTTGCATGATTCCAGAAAATGGTTACACCAGCACAGATGAGGAGCCCTCCGAGTTCAGCCAAGCCTCTGACAGCAGGTGAGACCGCAGTCTGCTCTTCCACACAACATCCTCGATTAATGACATCCACCAGTCATCTATTACACCTTGGTGTAGTTGTTTTAAAAAAAATAAAAATCTTACTTAGTATTTATCCAGCTGAAATTTCATCAAAAAAATATGCAGTCCTTTTCTCATGTGTATACGCATATATTTCCCTGACTGTTTCTCTCTTCCTGCAGTGTATCGCAAATGAAAGAATCCAACAGCCAAGATGATTTCAAGATAAAGGTACAGCTAGTTCATGTTCTTGTTGAAGTACAGCTGTTGCAGATTTAGAGAGACTCTAGCTTTTTGCATCCAGAATCCTCCTGTTTCTTGTGCCCAGTTTCCTTTGCATTTCTTCCTAAAATAGCTTTTTTTTATTGGTGTCAGTGCTCAAAACAGCAGGTAGATCAGATACTGCGTTTTGCACTATCCAAACCTGTCAGACCTTTATGAATCACAATGGCACTGCATGTTGTCAGATGATCATGTAGTGTTTGTTTGGATGCTTGCCCTAATTTTTGCTGTCAACACACACTACACCCACAGTCTGTCAGAGCAACTGTTATACCCCTTTGAAGCCATAAGGTGGCAGTATAAGCAAACGCTTAAGAATGGTGGAAGAAGCCCTGATATGTCACCAATCCCTCTTATACTCATGTTACAGCTGTGTTCTGTCGTCTTTATTATGTTTTTCAGTTATTTTTTTTCTCTATCCAGCTTTTGTTTGGCCCCACAATGGCTCCTTTCTCCTTTCTAGCTCATCTGTTTTACTGTTTGTCATATTTCTTTTTGCCCCTCTCCCTGCTGAATGATGTTTTCAGGCTACATCTTAATTTCCTCTTGTGCCTTAATTAAATTCAACCTTTATCTTTATTTTATGTCCCAGTTTTCCTATCCCACCGTCGTCCTCCTTTCTCAATTCATTCTCCCTTCTGTGGTCCTCAGTAAAACAAGTAATGTGCATTTTTCGCCCAGATGGAGCCACGTCTGTCGGCTCAGATGAAGGCGGTGTCGGCAGAGTATTTGGGCCCCATCCTGGATCCTTCATCAGGCAGTAAACAGCAGCACATCACCAAATCTCTTGCCTCGCTGACTGACATCCAGGAGGATGGCCTGAGTCTGGTGACAGGGAGTCTGGGGCTCAGCCTGGCCTTACGGGACACTTACCACAGGGACCGGGCATCCCGCACCATCAGCCTGCCTGTCAGGGGACACACCTTGTAAGTCATGAAGATTTGAACTCTAGCGGTAAAAAATAATGATTAATTAGATGACCATACTGCTAAGTGTTACCAGGAAGGGGGGGTTATCTGGAGGCTTGGCTCTTGTATTTTAGCAATGTTGAATTATGACAACACCTCGCAAGTGGATTACTGCAGTAATGATTACTGCAGTGTTGTGAGGGTGGAGCGCTCTCTGCAGAGGTTCCCATCCTTTTTTACCTACGTCCACAGCCCTATCAGACGAGCGCAAGACCCCTTCATCGACACTACAACCATTATAGCATTGCTTTAAGCCGATTATTTCAACCATTTATCCACCACTCTTAGATAACAGTTTATTCATTACATTTAGCTATACCACGATCCATTTATTGTTTACTTTTAGCTAACTATCATCCATTATCCATCATGTTTAGCAAAATAAAATTTAGCCAACTATCAAAAATGTACTTATTACTTTTAGCTAACTTACTATTGCAAATGCTTATTGATTACATTTATACAACTATTGGAACAAGGTATTCATTACTTTTAGCTAACAAGCAAACTACTTTTCAGCACTTTAGCAGCATGTAGTGTTCAATTATTACAGTTAACTCAAAACATGGCAATATATATATATTTTTTTTTATAAAATCATCATTTCTATTTTGTCAAATTAGTTGAGCCACTGAACAAATCTTTCAAAGTACCCCCTGGCAACTGCTAATGTACCCCCTTGGTTACTGGTGCCCTTGGCTGGGAATCACAGCTCTGCTGTGTGGGACAGGAGGGTGAGAGAACCTCATCTCAAATCCCTGTGTTGCCAAATATTTGTTTTGCTTAAGTGCAGGAAAATGTGCTGCTAAACATGAAACATGTTAATGCCATAAACAGAATTGCATAACCATAAGTAAACACCCTGTGGCATGTGACGAATATATCATCTAGAAAGAAGAACATCTTATATTTCCTGATAACAGAGACAAAATTCTTAAAGACTTCTATTTCCAACTGCACATTTCCAAGCTAACAACCTCTGGAAACCTGCCAGAGGCCTGACATTTTTTGGGTTATAAAACTGCTTTGGGGAGAAGTCATTGAAAATTTGCATCAGTCCTTAGGGATGGAAAGCCTGGTTGTGTGCGATTTGATATTTAAAGAACTGAGTCTGTCAGCTGCTTTAGTCTGCTAGAAATGCCATCAAATTGCAGAAATCCCTCGTTTCTTATAGATTCCCAACAGTTTACATAGATGTGTATCATCCTTCTGTGCTTATCACCTGTGCACTCCCTCGAAAGTCTGCTTAGTTTGCTTGTGTGTGTGTTTGTGTGTGTGTGTCAGTCCCAGGCAGTCTCGGGGTTATGACACTTCCCCTATAACAAGGAGGAAATCTTACGACCGTGCTTACAGGTACATGCTCAAATTCAAGCTATTTTGTAGACAAACTGATGAATTGTCTGACTATGTAATGTAATTTCCTTCCAGTTTTTTTCTAACTCTCTCCTTCTTAACTCCTCTTGTCCTTCCTCGTCTCTAACCTCCCACACCCTCCCGCCCCTTATCAGGCCCACTGACGGCTATACTCCCCCCTCTTCTCCTCCTCTGAGGACTAGGAACGACCGCAATGTCTTCTCAAGGCTCACCAGCAACCAAACCCAAGGTTCTGCTCTGGACAAGTGAGTGTCCTGTTCCTGCAGAGACGTACATTCACACACACTGCTTTTGTCCTTTTGTCCACACATACTCATCTGATCAATTCAGTTACTCTTTGAACCATTCCTTTCTTTTCTTTTGTCCTCTTCCATTGTTTAAGGTCTTAACTGGTCCTATCGATAGGCTGAAGTTCAGGCCTTTTGAGAGGAAAGTGCTTTTGTCTGTGGTGTAGATGAGCCTCTAAAAAAATGTGCTATTCCATCTGTTTATCTTCAGATGAATCCCACCCTTACACAAAAAAAGACTCTTCTTCTGGCAATAGTGTACATCCTGGAGGGACAAATTCATTCAAACATTCACAGAATCCAGGTGTTAAATGCTCTCAAGAGGCATCGAAGATCTGATCATCCAAACCACAACCACAGGCTACTCAGAGCTGCATTTAGCAACACCATCAACAAGGTGTAATTGCGCTGTGTTTCCAATCCATACATAGGAGTTTCCAGGAAAACAAATGCAAATCAGGAGAGAGGCAGCTCAAATAGTCAGAGTCGAATACTATTTAATGTAATGCAATAAAAAAACAGGCCTACAACAAATCTCATAATGTTGAGGTTTTGCTGACAGTGTGTCTGAGAAAACTCTCATTCATATTTAGGGGACTGTAGTTAGTTATGATGTTGTGTCTAATTGGCCTGTTTCCAATATTGTTCTTTCATCCTGTTTACATATAGAAATGTAAAAGAATGTTATAAACACCTCTTAAAATGTATATGTTTAGTCCTGCCACATCAGACGGAGACGCAATGTGGACATGAGATGCGTGTTAATGCCGGCTGCGAAGGTGCTGAGTCTGGAATGAGGAACCAGCCTTTTACTTCCCTGCTCACAATCAATTCCAGCTTTCCGCTCTGACAAATGTCAGCGGTTAATTTCAGTCAGCGGTTGGCTCTGCTGTAAAGTTGTTTGTTTTGTAATCTTTATTAATCCGCAACATTTCTCAGCTTTATTGACCCCTAATTGTTAGCGAGGATACTGCGTGAAATGAGTTTGGGTGTCGCGTTTGTGTATGTGTGCGCGCTGCATATGCGAGTATTTGTATGTGTTGTGTATGTTCTAGTCTGTGTGTCCTCATTATCTGGAGTAAGAGTAGGTAAATGAGTTGGCTCTTGTCATCTTTCCATGCAGCCGTTGTCATTGGTAGCCATTTTATATTGACTCATGGTGACAGTGTGGGGTATTTATTATGTTTAGGGTCTTTTTATGAGGTTTCCACAGGGCAAGCTTTTGTAGGCTGTAGAAGGATGAAACTGTAAGAGGTTTTTTTTTTTTTTTCTTTTCATGTCTTTGCATTGTTGCAGGGTATTAGCATAATTTTGACATTTGCACTTTTGTTTTAAGTGAGGTGTGTGTGGTGTAAATGTTTTATTTACTGAAGTGATCACTGGATACGGCGGTTTTTACCCAAGAGGCATCATTTAAACCACAGTTTGAATTCTTTTGGTTTCATGTCCTAACAATACTGAAAGTGGCCCAACTCTGCCACTTAATCCATCATCACAAGCATAAATTCACAGCCAAATGGAGCTAATTTATTAAAAAAACGAATCATCTGTATGAATTCTGACTAATTGGGTGTCAAATGAGAAGCTGTCTGCTATGCAAAGAAAGAAGATAGCATTGTTCACAAGTACATCTTTGCAAGTCCACAAAACCTATTAAAATGCAATAAGACATTTTTGTGATTGTGACTGTGGATGCTTTCTGCTTCCACTTTTTTTGACTGATTCATATTTGAGCAGATTGGCTGCCTATGAGAATGGGATCGAGCATTTGACACGGATTTGAAAGACACACGAGAACGAGGAATATGAATTTTAAACAAAGTTTCCTTGTCTTCTGTCGGATGAAGAGGCTTTGAATCCCAGATCCCGTTTTTAATCTTCTCCATTACATTTGCATCCTCCAGAACCAATGAATTTTAAAAGGATTTTGTCTTGAGAGTCGGATATCAATATGCTAATGGCCACCATGGCCGGCAGTAAATACCAAGGAATTTCTATCACCTTTTAACACCATTGTTCCCTCCAGACACATCCACAACCATTTTTTTTTTATTATTCCATGCTCAGAGTGTAAAGCACGTGCTCTCGTGGTGACAAACCCGAGGCTATAAAATATTTACAAGATAATAACACTTTTATTGCACTGTTACACACATACCAGCTTTCCCCTTTGAGCTAGTGTGGAGGTGTGGGTGTAGTCTGGATTTTTTCCCTCAACAGCTTTGAGTGGACTCACCTGTGAGTTTGATTGATATCTTATCTCCCAGTCGACTGGATTTTCCCTTCTGTTAACCCTGTTTGCAATCCCTTATGCCTTTTTCTTTACTCATACCCTGATTATGGCTGGAAAGAGTAGATGTAGGAGGGGGCGCTGACATCACAGGAGTCATACATGGAGGGTAGAAGTGTAGAAATTGTAATGTTCGGTTCTTTGACCTCTGTGTATCACTGTCCTGGCTTCAGTGCTTCCTCCTTGACTACTTCCCTTTTTCTTTCAGTAACTTTTTCTGCTTTTCCAAAATTAATTGTTTGACATTTTGGGCAATGCGCTCATTTGTTTTCTTGCTGAGAGTTTGCTTGATGAGAAAAATGATATCACTGTCATGTCTGTACGGTGAATATGAAGCTACCGATATTTACCTTGGTAAACCGCTAGTCTGGCTCTGTCCATAGGTAACAAAGTCTGCCTGTCAGCACCTCTGAAGCTCACTAACACTTTTTATTTAGTGCATTTAATTCATACAAAATCTAAGTGTGAAAAAAGACATGTTGTGGTTTTAGTTCATTAAAAACACCTTTTTGTACGAGTGCTGGTAGGCAGACTTGTTAGCTTTGGACAAAACCATTTTAGCTGTTTCCCCCTGTTTCCATTCTTTGTACTGAGCTAAGCTAACCGGCTGTCATTTTATATTGAACAAACAGACATGAGAGCGGTATCAATCTTCTCATCTTAATCTTGGCAAGAAAGCAAATAAGCATATTTCTCAAAATGTCTATTTCGGTTTTTCTCTAAACATGTTACCTTTAATGTCAGCCCTAACACCGCTAGTCCAAGTCTACTAAACCAGCCGTTGCTTGGTGTGGGTGTACCTATAGTAAACATGCTTTACCAAGGAAAACATCTGCAGACACTGGTCTAAGAATACAGCTTGTTCAGTGATTCCCTTTAAGAAGAAGCCCATTTCATGGCAAACTGCCTGATAATCACTCAACGAGCTTTATTGTTGACTGAGCTTTCCTGCCAGTTTGCTCACTGCTTTATATCTAAGACCCTTCCTCTAGTCACTCCTTCCTTTAACCCTTTGCTGCCAGTAACCCTTCTGTCTTCCCTTACTGTGTTTAACCCTTTCCTCTTCCCGCCCCTCCCCTCCCTCTCCTTGCTCCTCTTCTGCCTCCAGGTCGGATGACAGCGACTCCTCGCTCTCCGAGGTGCTCAGGTAGAGGAACTGTGTCTGTCACTCTCTGTTTTCCCATTTGCCTGTTAACTCACCTGGTGTCATCTCGTCTCCACCGGTGTTCTCCACCACCTCCTCCTCTTTTATCTCCCTCAGCGGGTGGGGTCATTGTGGTGCATGTTTTAACCACATGCGACTTTCTTGACCCGTTGGCTTTTTCCACTTGTGCAGTGTTGTGTTTCTCTGTGGTATTTTGCTCGCACAGAAGACCTGAATGAACCTCATCACTTTTCTATAGGCTGTATAAAAACAAACGTGAAAAGGTGCAAATTAGGGCTGAACAATTCATCGAAATATTATCAAAATGCCATATGGCCGAGTGCAATTTCCAAATCACAGGAGCTGTAGTTAACATACATAACATAACTGATGCGTTGTGATGCTACAGAGATGATGAATCGTATTCTCTCAACATAAAGGAACACGCTTGTTTGGTACAGATCCCAGCAAAAATCACATCATCATCATTTTTACATTTTTTTTTACAGTGAAAGTAAAATGCAAAAATTACCTTTCCCGCTATAATTGTGACTAATATCACAATATCTGCCAAAACAATCACAATATGATTTTTTTTTTGCATATTATTCAGTCATAGTGCAAATGTTATCTGAACAAAACATCTCATGACTGAAGTACCCAGCTGATAATGTGATTAATCATCTGAAAGGAAAGCATAGTCTGTCACTCCCTTAATATGTGTTAACTACAGTTTCTGTAAAGTCTGTAATATAATGCTTAGAAATGCATAGGAGGTAAAGGAATAGCTTGAATATTTGGAAAATATGCTTATTTGCTTTCTTGCTAAGAGTTAGATGAGAAGATTGATCCTCCTCATATCTGTAAGGTAAATGCAAAGCTACCACCTGTAGCCAGTTAGTTCCAGTTTCTTCTGGCTGTAACTTCATATTTAGCACATAGACATAAAAATGGTGTCCATCTTCTCATCTAACTGTCAGTAATAAAGAGAATGAGCTCATAAATGTCAAATAGAAGACAATCATATAGTTAATGATAAAAAAGAAAAAACAACAGAATGTTCTCCTCTTCACTCTGAACAGTCCTTTCTGTTTCTGTGTCTTTATCACACACACGCACAAATAGATGCACCTCTCACCGAGGCCCTTCTGTCTGTTTTTCTGTGCACTGCAGAGAGCACACACTGATCTCCCTCCATGTTTTCATTAATCCGCTGGTCTCTTGGTGCTCGGCCCTGCAACATCCATTAGCAGCTCTTACATAGTGCATAACACAGCACACTATGATATCTTCCACAGACGCTGATAGAAAGGGAACAGTTTCTGCCATTTGGAGCTGGACACTGCTTTAAGAAATAGAGCGGTGCATTAAGGAATATTTTACAGGAGAAACTCCAGTAAAAGAAAGTACTCAAAATACTGCAAAAATAATGGCAGGTAAGGAAAGTAATCTGTATGATTTTTAAACAACAGCTGTAATAGTTAAGTGTTTCTAATTTTATAGTTAAATCTAAATAATCAATTTAACATCAGGGCAACAATAAGATTAACTGAATTTCCATTATAACCAGTGAGAATAGAGCTCAAGACCTCAAACAACAGGATTGGATTGACAGCCTTAAGAGTAATAAGGTTCATTCAGATGAAACGGCACCACAAATTCTCCTTCTCCTGTTTTCTCAAATTTTCCTTCAACTCTCTTCTCCATTTATTAGTTATTTATCAGTCTTTTCAAAGTGGAACTGGACAAAACAGAGAGTGGGACAGATTGTATGGGTTGCTGTGTTCACTCCCCACACCTTCCATCACAGTCAGGTTTCGCAGCTCTGCAGAAGCTGATAATCTGACTATGCTGTCGACTTGTTATATCTCTGCACTTACTCACATGTACCACAACCCCCTGGGTCCCAAAAGGCAATTGGCTGTGGAGGTGCTGAACTGAGAGTCAGCTCCCACCTGACTGGCGGAGAATGGATGCTGCATGTGGTGACGGTGACGTCTCAGGATGCTGTGCTGTAGTTTATTTTTGAGTTGCAGGCTGCTTTGGAGTTGGTCTACCAGGCTGTGGCCATTGTTAATAATTGTTTTGAGCTTATTCTGTGCAAGTCGGTTTTACTTTTGTTTTTTTGATTTCGTTTTTTTTTCGTGAGACTTGGCAGACATGCATGAAATCTTTTTTTCACTGGCTGGTGAATGACGGTTTTTGATTTTGGTTGGCATTTTCTGCACTATAAAAAAGATACACAGAAAGTATGGTTTGGTGTTTCATTTTTATCTGACGTGTGTGTGTGTGTGTGTGTGTGTGTGTGTTTGTGTGTGTGTGTATGTGTGTGTGTGTTTTTACGCTGGGACATCAGTGTATGTGCGGGCACAGGAGAGGAGCTTGTCGCCATGTTTGACGAGTTTCAAGCACACCCTTCTCTATTTTGCTCACTCTGTGCAGAAACAAATCTGTCCCAATTTTTGTGTATAACCACACATTCTCTTTTCCCTCCGCACATCCTCTGGCTCTCCCTCACTGTTTAGCGCTCGACCTCACTCTCTCACACACACACACACACACACATACACACACACATGCACACTAACCACCAGTCGTGTTATTAGGAAGCCCACCAGGGACCAATTTTCCCACATTCCTCCCTCTTCTTCTCACCCTCTGTCTGCTCTGTCTCACTCTGCTGACTGCTCTCCGGGCACTCTGGGACTTTGGCCTGTCAGTGGGACATAGATTGGGAGTGTTGGTGGGGGGCAGAGGTTCAGCGAGAGAGATTGAGTGCACATAATATTGGAGAAGGTGTGTGTGTGTGTGTGTGTGTGTGTGTGTGTGTGTGTGTGTGTGTGAGTGAGACAGAGAGAGAGGGGAAAGAAACGGAAAGACAACTTGAATAGAAAACTAGCTCTTACTGTTGTAGTGCCTTAATTGGGCTGTTTCACAACAAAAAGAGAGGGGGGTTGGGGGGTGGAGGCAGGCCAGAGAGATGGGCTTTAATCAACAGGAAGTTGTGTGTGTGTATGTGTGTGTGTGTTTAGAGGAGTACATCATCTGTATGTATGCAGCGAGGTTTGTGTAGGTTTGCATTGCCTCTGTTTAATGAAAAGAATTGATTTGTGTTTCTGTGTGCATGTTTGTGATCAGCCTGTGTCTTACAGCACATACATCTGTAGCTATGTGGAAAGAAATCATACTCAGTGATTTATGATAACAAGGGTGTGACTCTGCACGTGTGTGTGTGCGTGTGTGTGATCTTTAGGGGTGTGATCAATCCCATTGGGGGTGTGAAGGGGGGTCGGACGGCGCCCCTGCAGTGTGTTTCTGTAGCAGAGGGCCATTCGAAGCCGGTCCTGTGTGTGGATGCTACAGATGAACTGCTATTCACTGGATCTAAAGGTACATATCACTCAATGTGTTATCAGCTCCTCCATTAAGGTGTTTCACATAAGCCTGAAATGGCAGCGTGCAGCTGTACTTCCAATGTATTTATACTGTATGTTAGGCATTGCATGTGCTTTTTAAAGCTTTTTCAAAAGCTCTTATTCACTTTGAAGCTACTGACTGGGAAGTCTGCCATGCTTAAACAAATATGTAACAGCCACAAATTGCTGTCTTTTTGTTTGTTTATGAATTAAACAAATACAACAGAGATACAACATGCTAATTAGTAAACATGGGAGCTGCTGATAGACGTATTTTTAGCTGCTACCTAGCTGTTTCCCCCTCCTTCCAGTGTTTATGCTAAGCTAACTTAGCATAAATTATTTATAATTAACTTAACTCCTGTCTCCAGCTCCATACTTCACCTGCATATACATACACACATGTACATGTGTTGATGTTCTCATCCCGCTCCCGGAAAGAAAGCAAATAAGAGCATTTCCCAAAATGTTGAACTAATATAAATTAAGAAGTGAATCGTTTTTATAGAAGTAGTAAAAATGTGATAACTCACAATGTAGCTTAACAGCTATGTGGGTTTGCAAAGCGGCATTCTAATGTCATGGCAATCCATCGAAGAGTTGCTGAGATACTTCACATCATCAGATAGGCAGATAAGAACAGCCACTCAAAACATGCATCTGTTGTGCAGAGTAAGCCTATTTGAACGTCCCCTCTTCTGCTCCTCCTCCTCCAGACCGCACCTGTAAGATGTGGAACCTGGTAACAGGTCAGGAGATTGCAACTCTCAAAGGCCACCCCAACAACGTGGTGTCAGTCAAATACTGTCCGTCCTCCTGTCTGGTCTTCTCTGTCTCCACCTCCTACATCAAGGTGTGGGACATTCGTGACTCCGCCAAGTGTGTCCGCACGCTCACGTAAGTTTCCTCCCTGCACCCGGCAAGATGGAACAATTTGAAGCTGTTTGAAGCTGCATCAGTTTCAAGTTGCAGAAAAGTGACAAATTAAATGAGCGAAAATTTGTCTCTTTATTTGTCCTATTTCTTTCTCCCTCTCCTCCTTTTACTTGCCTCGTATCCGTCCCTCTCTCTGACATTGTTTGGCTTGTCTTTACCGTCCACAGTTCATCGGGGCAGGTGGTTTCGGGTGATGCGTGTGCCGGCACCACCACCCGCACAATAACTTTTGCACAGGGCGAGTGCCAGATCAACCAGATAGCCCTCAACCCGTCAGGATCTGTGCTTTACGCTGCGGCTGGTAACACTGTTCGCATGTGGGACCTCAACAGGTACACTTCATTCATTACTACTAGTCACAGATTTATTTATTCATTGAGCTACTCATCCAATTACTGATTAAAGTACTTAGTTAGTCGTTCATGTATTTATTAATCCATTTATTCACTGACTTATATGTTGAGTCATCCTCCTCCTCCTTACAGCCACCTCTAAATTCTGTTGCACTTGGATGTGTGTGTTTTATATTCATTTGTCAGATATTAATCAAACAGAAAGCTGATTAACATGTGACAGAAGAGATTAAAAAGGCTGTCAAGAGAAAGTGCAGGCACCCAGTACTGGTGATATGAAGCGTGTACATGAGCATGTTTGCTAAAAGGAACCCATTTCTACCATCCCGTGGCACTGCCGTCTTCTCCTCAGTTTTTATGCTTCCTTCTACGGGGGAATGATAAACAGATTGGACCAGACAGTTTACGCTGAGGGGCTCAGACCCATTTAATGATGCATAAGAACCCTCCAGAAATGAAAAATGAATGTATTAAACATTTCTTCAGTATCATCTTTGCCTATGGCATTGCTGTGTCTCAGCAGTTTTGCTTCACTCGCGAGACAGGAAGTGATTGCATTTCATTCGGTGAAACAGAAACCTTGAAAATCTTGTAAGCAATGAATTTCACAGACCTTTGCTTCTCCACCTTTGGTGTGTGTGTGTGTGTGTGTGTGTGTGTTTGTGTGTGTGTTGGTGTTCATGTGTGTGTAGGATGCAAGCGATGGGAAAGCTGACAGGCCACATTGGCTCCGTCATGTGTCTGACAGTGGGACAGTCTCTGCTGGGCAAAGACCAAGTAATCACTGGATCCAAAGACCATTACGTCAAGGTACCAAACACACTTGTATCAACAAGTATCATCCACCACAGCGGTCAGAGAAGCAGACAGGTTTTTCATAATCTCCTTTTTTTTCCCTGCCTTATGCTCAGGTGTTTGACGTGGCAGAGGGAACTTTGGGTAACGTAGGCCCAGCTCATAACTTTGAGCCTCCACATTACGATGGCATCGAGTGTTTGGCTGTGCAGGGAGACGTGCTCTTCAGTGGGTCGAGGGACAACGGGATCAAGAAATGGGATCTGGAGCAGCAGGAACTCACTCAGGTGTGTGTGTGTATTAAGATTTTTGTTTATAGAAGAATGAAGAGCTTTTTCTTGCAGAATGAAGACATACTAACACACAAGTACTGTTTAAAACTATGGCTACATGCCCCTGTATGTTTCCTACGCAGTGTGTGAGGTCAGATGGGTTGAATTAAGCAGGAAGGAGAATGATGTTACATTCATGCGTATGTGGAGCTCATATATCAAAGTTAAAAACGTGCTTCCCTCACTGCGCTTCAGTGTTGCTCCTGACATTATGTGGCGTCAGCCTGCAGGTAGAAACATGCGGAGACCATCGTTCTCTGAGGCTATTAATTTATGATCTCATGACCCTTATCATCCAGTGAGCAAAGCCAGTGTTTCCATTCATGTGTATGCAGTGCAGATGGAGTGCCAGCACAGTATAAAAGAAAAAGGAAGAAACAAACAGGCTTTAGTAGATAATTGCAGTGAGATCCTTCCTGTCAGTGATGATGCTGAATTTTGGTCTGTGTCATTGCATCTATAGTCGACTATTGTTGATTAATTGATTGGCGGAAAATTAATTAACATCAATTTTGTTGCCACAATGTCAAGAATTCTGCCATCATCTTTCCTCAGTAGCTCGGTCCCTACCTAACTACATCCATGAAAAATAGTAACAGAAAAATAACTACAAAAACCAACTTACAGAAATAATAAATCTCAAACTCATATTTCTTCAACTGCCACCAGCTTAGATGAACAAGTGAAATAAAATGGCATTTCAGTCTGATTGACTAATAATTAGTTAAATCTTTATTGTGGCCATTTAGATGATCTTGAAAATTCCCTCCAAAGAAGCAAGAATCATTCAAATAACACACAAGCCAGAGCAGTGTACTAACATTTTCCTCAATGTTTGCTCAATCTGGACAAGTCTTTTAAGACAAGATGAGGTGTTGCAACCTTTTTTTTTTTCCTATAGTCACATCTACTCTGTCCATAGGGGTGAAGACTGTATGTTACTTGTTATCCAACGCTGGCTCAGCTGTGACAGTAAAAAGCTGTGCTGCCAGCAGAGAGTTGAATTGCTGGACAGCTTCTTGCCACTGGAGTGCTCCCTTCATGTCTTCCTTTTACCCAGAGTGTTCGCTCTGTGGAGAGAGTCAACAGAGTGTCCTCATGTGTAATGTGGCAGGGAAGCACTGTGTCAACATCAGAGTGTTAGAGCCCACACGCATCATAGCCACAGGTACCAGAGAGGAAATAAATTCTGTGTGTGTGTGTGTGTGTGTGTGTCTTTGTATGCTAGCGCTGACTTCGTCGAAGTCTCTTGTGTATCCTCTGTTGCCTGCATATGTTAATAATGCATAATAATGCACGTTGTGGGTGGATGGGGCTTACTCATTTGCATGAACAGTAATATGCATATTAAGCAGCACTTTCTCAGGTTGTTTTGTATAAATTCTATTTAGCCTTTGTTCATCTGAACAGACAAAACAAGAACACAAGACATTATTATTTTTACTCAAAGGCTGAATTAAATCAACAGAGTCTGTGCTGTGGTCTGTGGCATATGACCTTAACCTCATTTGTGAAGCAGCCAACACAATCCATTTTACAGCCCCTCTAACTCAGAAGTCTCTGTCTAATTATGTAATAGGATCAAATTGTGGCTTGGGGTATAATAGAATATATTACTGTAGACTCTGAAACTGCCTCCTCCAGGATTGCTGCTGCAAGCTGTTCCGCTCTGACCCCTCTGTTAAAATGCATACGCTATAGTGTGTTGCTTGGGGGAATATGTGAAGCAATTTGTTCATAATTACTAGACACTGTAGTTTAGTGATTCCCAGTTGCTTGATAAATATTTTCATGTACCTTCCAAAAGTTTATGTGCGTGTTTTACTGGTTAGTCGGCGTGCTTATGCAACTGTTGCGGCAGTGCTGTGTTTCTGTCAGTGTAGTGTTAGCAGGGCATTAACACGTTTTTTACCCACTGGTGTAAAGTTGTTACAGATAGTGAGGTAGTTGTAATATATGTGAAAACTTTCTCTTTATTTTTCCAATTGCTATTCCTCATCCACAGCTCCTATTCCACTCTCAGCCAGCAGCAGATGGGTATCTCTCTTTGAACTGCCTCTCCCCGTCCTTCCCCTGTTTTTACCCGCCGCGACAGTGTGTGGCTGCTGTTGTTTTCAACTTGTGAGTCTGTGTGTGAGTCATCATGGCAAAATGTAGTCCTGGAGACACCTGCTATTGCAGGAACTACCACTGAGGCAGTTTTGAGTACATTGGCAGGAGTTTATATGTCATATGTGGAAAGATTCTTGTGAGCTTGATAACTTTACAACTGTGCAAAATGCTGGGGTACAGTTGAGATCAAAATGAAGGCAGAAATTGAAGATGGATGTGGTCCCACCCATGAGCACTGGGTCAGAACGTCAATATGTTGATGGGCGTTGTGGCTGGTGTGATCCCATTGCAGGACGGTCCCTAGTTTTCTTCTTTGCGCATTCTCTGGACAATAGATTCCACCTTTAAAAGACAGATGTCTGCTGACCTCAGTAATCAGGTTGCAAATATGGAGGAATCTCAAGATATACTCTATAGTATGTACATAACATATTTAATACACAAACAAATAGTGAGTTGACAGTGAAATCATTCATCCTCACTGGGCAAAAGGATAGTGGTCACATGTCACAAGACTAGATCACTGTATGTCAATGTAAATTGAGTGAATTTACCTTTTTAATGAGCATTGAAATGAAATTTGAAGACAATCATCAGGGAAGATGTTGTTCAGTTTTCGGGTCTGTTACCTTACGAGGCTAACAGTCACATTATGGAAATGCAGATAATGTTTTATTCTTTTGAAAGCTTAGAAAAAGTAATTAACTGCATCTAATCCTACACAGAAATTAACAATATTGAACATGATCACTGATCTGCCAGAAACAGTATCTAAGAGACCTGTTGAGATCGAATGATAGAAACATTGTGTCGTGAATGAGATGAATCCACAGGGTCATTCTGTCCGCTGTCCGCAGTGTAATTAAACATTGTCTCTGTCCATGTGTGCCAACAGTTTACCTTCTCTGTTTCTAAATGGATAATACAAGCAGGAGAACGTGTCATTTCAAATAGTTGTTTTTATGTTGCATTGTGAATTACTGAGTCATGCTGTCTTTTAAATACACACCTTTGTTGATACAAAGCAATGTGATACCTGCACTAGATTATATGGCACAGAGTAAATTATAGGCTTTTCTACAATGTCACTCACATTATTTAAATTGTACTTTGCTTGGACTTTTGTACAGTAAGAATCACTACACAGAAAAGGACTTGGAGCTTTGTTTCAAGAAGAAATTGCCCTGAATTGTCCAGAAAGCTTTTGGGTCAGAAAGCTAAAGAGGGGGGTGGCACGTTGATGTACTTTTTAGCCTCACCGCAACAAAGTTCTAGGTTCAAACCCAGGCCTGGGGCCTGTCTGTGTGGCATTTGCGTGTTCTCCCTTTGCCTGTGTGGGTTCTCTCTGGGAACTCCGGCTTCCTCCAACAATCCAAAAACATGTACGTTAGGTTACTTGGCTATTCTAAAATGCCCATAGGTGTGAATGTGAGCTTGGGTAGTTGTTTGTCTCTATATGTCACCCCCGGGATAGACTGGCGAGGTGCACCCCACCCTCACCCATTGTCAGCTGGGTTTGGCTCCCACCCACTCACTACCCCATTAGGATAAGCAGTGTAGCCTAATGGATGGATGGATGGAAGCTAGAGAGGAAAAACATATGCTTTTACATAAGCTTGTGGATCCTTTGTTTGGAAGCAAACATGTCTAAAATAATAAAGATACATATTCTATAACTGTCTGCTTCTACAAACTACAGAAAGTGATCAGACAAAATCACTACAGTGTTGAAAACATGTACAGATAACACATTAGTATGTGTGATACCTAATGGAAAGGAACTTTATTTGCAGTGTTATGTTGATTAAAAGCCAATCTCAAAATGCAACATTTTGCAAGGTAATAACAGTTAATGACAGAAGCAAATAAAACACAACAGGAGAAAGTAGATGACTGTAATAAAATGATCTACATGTGCATGTGTTCCTGTGTTCAGAGCTTAATTAATATGCAGTAAGAACCAAAACAAAAACAGCAAAACCCAAAGTGTATGTGTAATAGAAGTTTGATGAATTCAAATAGCTTTTTGGATGTTTGCTGTGTATTTTAAGACACTGATAGTATTTCGGCTGGTTATGTTTAACATCTCGCCTCTGCAGTGGTGCTTCATCGCAGACATTCACGTTGTTCTTCATTTTCTATTTCATTCAGTGAAGAAATGGTACAGAAAAATGAAAAAATAAAAAGCATGATGTGTGTTTAGAAGCTATCTGTAAGATGTTTTTGTCAGTGTGTTACAGTTTGTTGCCCTCTGCAGAGGTGTGGTTCTAAAGTGAGTTAAAGATGAGCAGCATGTGCAATTAAACCCCTAAAAAAAATAACAGAAAATGGTGCTGTTTGAGTTTAAGAGGTCCAGGGGTGTTTGGATCTCTGCAGATTTTTTTATGATGGTAAAATAAAATAAGCTGTTACATAACATTTATGTGTACCCACACTTCATTTGGAGATTAAATATGAAACTAGTCTTGAATCAACTCTCATACTTACAGCGTGTACACTGTAGTTGCTCTGTAATTTGAAATGAAGACAATTGTATCACTTCTGACACCTGCAGCTCTCATTTGTTATTTCTCTCCTGTTGCTTCTGTAATAGAGGCTCATGTCAGTGTGATTATCTTAGTAAACATAAGACAGATGATACCACTCTCAGTTCATGAATTATGTTTGAATTCTCTGTAAAACACTCACAGACACACAGACACACACACACACAAACTACCGGTAGGTTAATTGCAGTGCTGAATCTAAATACAGTATTAGTGAGTCTCTAGCCATACCTGCACTTACATGTATCAGTTGCCTTGAAGAAATATGCTGTTTTACTGTTGATAATTTATATCCATAAAAAAAAAAGAAACACTGAACATTTCTGTTTTTCTGCTCCTATTTTGATAACACAATAACCCGGAGGACTTGCACATACACAAGTGCACTAAAACCAGTGGATTATTATTTTATGTAAGAACAAAATATGTAGTATCTTTCTCTCTCTGACTCTTGATGTCTCCGTGCCTTCACTCCACAGCAAATCCCTAACGCCCACAAGGACTGGGTGTGTGCTCTGGCGTACGTCCCGGGCCGACCCATGCTGCTGAGCGCCTGTCGGGGCGGCATGCTGAAGGTGTGGAACGTAGATAATTTCACCCCCATAGGAGAGGTCAGGGGTCATGACAGCCCCATTAACGCCATATGTACCAACTCAAGACAGATCTTCACCGCGTCCAGGTAAAAAATAAAAATAAGAAAAGTTCCACTATTGTATTATTCCACCACCATTAATCTTAAAATGTGTCCTTTCACAATACTGTGATGTAGAAGTGTCCATCAAATTTACGTTATCCCACCATTGATGTAATGGAGGGATTAATGGGGAAAAGACGCAGCTCTTTGGAAGATTATTACCTATTTTGCAAGTAAAAGAGACCTTAATTATTAATTACAACAAATTAGTGTTATGCTAGTATGAGCTGTTTGAAGTACTACCAACTTTAAGACGAGGCACACACAAGCATTTAAAAATAAGACCAAAAATTAATCAATCCTACTAATAAGTATTGCCTGTGTAGCCAAACCCTCATGTGGTAGTTTATTCCCCTGTGCCATAGAGCTCCACTGTTGTCCAGAGACTATTAAAAACACCAGTAAACCTCGGCTTGGCACTGGCTGACATTTTCTACCATTACAATGGACATGGGCACCATAGTTTATTTTAAGTCAAACCCAAGCACTGTCTAGAACACTAAATGTGTATTAATACGCTGCTGAAAATAGTCCCCCAGAAATGCACTATTTACTCCTGTTTGAATAATTTTTTCTAAGTTACTTAAAAAACAAAACAGAATTTATGATTGATTTTTAACGACTCATATCTCGAGGCTGAATGGGTGTTGGAAAGTACCGAGAGACGGACATTCATAATGGGTTTTGTACAATTTGCTGACAATAACACAAATATAGAGTCAGCCTCATCAGAAGGGTGACTGGTAGGATTTTGAGGTTGAGAACCCAGAAGAAACCGGTACAGAGAGTCTGGTGTTTACCACATATAAAATTCTATATTATGATTCATGCTTGCTTCATCTCATGCATTAATCTGCAGGTGTGTGTCAGCCTTGTGTAACTCAGAGAGGGTCATTGTGTCTTTCGCTGAGCTCCTAGCTGCATCAGACTGAGCTGAGTTAATGCTTGTGTCTGTTTGTTTGTGTCTGTCTGAGTGGGACATACTGCCGTCTCTTTAGTCTGTCTGTGTCCATTTTTCTCTCTTCTCAATTAACCAGCGGGCTTTCACTGAAGTTGATTATCTTTCTACGCCCTCTTCCTTCTGTCCTCTCTTCTTCCCACTCTCTTTTTTCTCTCTTTTCTTTCATCTTAATCATCACTTGCTGTTTTCCTGTGCTTCTATCACCTTTTCTATGGATAAATATTTCCTCACGTTTGGTCTCTTAAACTGCCTTCGTCGTCGTCCTCCTCCTGCTCTTCACCCTCCATCCTCCTACTCCCCCCTCCCCCTTCCTGATGTCGACCCCAGTGACTGTAGGGTGAAGTTGTGGAGCTATGTGCCAGGCTTGACCCCGTGTCTTCCTCGTCGGGTCCTGGCCATCAAGGGCCGGGCCACCAGCCTCCCGTGATTGCCTCTTCTCCGCTCACCAAACCTCCCCTCCTCTGGTACTCTCTTAAACGAATTTCCACCTTCTTTACTTTTCCCTTTCTTTTGTATTTCTTTACCTGGGTGGTACCTACGCTTTTCTGTTTGCCCCTGTTCTGTTTCTGTCCTATTTTTCAGTTTTACTCCAATTCTTCTATCATTCTTTTCTGGTGTTCTTTTTTTATGACTTCTATTCTTCTACTTTCATCACAGTTACGGATTAATTTGCAGACAACTGCCTCCGCTTAGACAAACAGCTTCTCATTGACTGAACAAATGACTCCTAGTTCTGCTCAGAATAACTTGTGTGTGTACAGATCTAATTTGTCTGCTGCTCCTATTGCTCTACTTAAAATAACATGGTTTATTTTCTTTCTTGCTCAGAGTTAGATGAGAAAATCCATACCACTTTCCCATTTGTCCGTTCAATATAAGGCTACAGCCAGTGGGCAGTTAGCTTAGCTTTAAGCAAGGAAATAAGAGGAAACAGCTATCTTGTACATAAAACTGCAACTCATTGTTTTTACACCAATTCTTTGTAGGTATTAATTAAAAGGAAATAATAACTTAATTAGTGAGGTGATACTGTTTTTTTTCTGTTACCTTTGGTCACTCTGTTTTCTGTCTTTATGCTAAGCTAGCTGCCTGCTGTCTGTAGCTTCATATTTATCCCACAGACATAAGAGTGGTAACAATGCTCTTGTCTAACTCTGGGCAAGAAAGCCAATAAGCATAATTTTCAAAATGTCAAGCTATTTTAAAAGAAAAAAAACACCTTCAGCATTATTTTCAGATGAAATCCACTCAATTGACATTTAACATCTTCTAACACCCACCAAAGTGCAAAGCTAACTTCTTAAGCTAGTGTTAATGAAAAAAAGTGATGTAGTGCCTAACTGATCAGTCCATGGTGTTATGACTAAGCTCTGTGGGAATCTGCAAGAAAGTGAAAATTAAATTTCCTGGTCAGTAGGGAGAAGACTTGTGGGCAGGTTGATTAGATTTACTTGTTGCAGAATTGCGAATCATACTGCAATTTTCTAAAAGGTTGGAGAGGTTTTTTTTTTTTCTTTTCCTGACACTGTGGAGAAGGGTCTTTATTGTAGTGTGTGTGGGCATGTGTGTGTGTGCGTTTGTGTGTGTGAAGTGTACTTTGAAGTCATTGTCTTTGTCTTGCTTCTGATGCACAATGGGTTGTTTTGAAAGGGAAGACTGCCTGATTGATGTTCTCTTATTTTCTCCCTTTGTTGTGTTGTTGTGTTCTCCTTGCTTTCCTTTGCCCTCCGCCCACACACCCCCACCCATATCTCTCTCTCTCCCTCTCCCTGCCTCCCTCTCTAGTGACAAGACAGTGAAGATCTGGCTGTCAAAGGTATGGAGGAAGAGGTGACAATTGAAAATGGCTGTGGTTCCTCTGTAAACCACCTTGCTATAACTTCAGCCACTGATCTGAGACCTGCTCACTTTCAGTAATGGTATGCAACACCGTTTCCAAGGCAATCAATGTGTTTTTTTGTTTTTTTTTGTCACAATGCGAAGTGATAAAGCTGAGGTGGAATATTTTTTTCAAATGCAAAAGGACTTTTTTCCGCTGAGATTTTTTTTTACTGCCAATCTGAAAGTGCCATTCAGGTGTGATGCTACATGGACAAGATAAACCACATCTTCCCAGCCATGGATACACCAGGCAGAACAACACTTCTGCTGACATGAAACCTACCACGGTCTGGTATAAAAAAGAAAAGAAAAAAAAGTGTCCTTCTGTTCTATCAACGAGGTTTCAGAAACCTTGTGGAACAGTGAGAGATGAATTCGCTCAGAGACGTGTGTATTCATATATCTATTGTCTGAAAGTGGAGACACGGTCCAAATATAAATCACAGAGCGACGCTACCTAACAAATGGAACTTCTGTTCTTCATTCAAGACTGTTTGTGCTCATTAGTGTTGTGGTTGCTCTGATTCTGAACACACCGGACGGTGTGTGTGTTGGGATGATCAGTAGACTGTTGCTGATCTTGGGTTAGACATCACTGGAAAATGACACAAAACACCATCACTTTATACAGTATATCACTGAAACTGAACTGTATTCAACAAGTAGTGTTTTGTTTTATTATGATTTTTATTAATTTATTATTTTCCCTACCTCAGTTGTTTTAGACTTTGGCGTGAGGGAACATTTTTACGGGTCTCCATGCACAAACACCTGGTGCTTGACATTTGGAAGTCTTCATTTAATGCCTGGCCCTTCATCTCTGTGTGGATGTGTCCTCTGTGGCCCTCTGGCTATCAGCCTGTCTAGCTGCTGACCTTGCAAACAGCAAAGCACATGTCCAGTAGCACAAGTAAAGGTAGCATGGGCCCCCGGAGGATCTGACCACAGGATCTGTATTATCTGCTCTGCAAAGTGCTAACTCCAGCGAAATAACAGAAAAGAGACACCACTGCAGATGCACATGACACCAACAGTAGATGACAACAGTACGCACAGCTCAGACATTTGTGAGTTTGGTACTCCATTGAGGCTAAAGCACCAGATCATTATCGTAACGAACCTACATTATATGGCCCACACCTGCCATTTATCCTCCACGCAAGTGGTAAACGGAGCTCCACCAGTTTACCCCTGGTTGCGGATTAGTGACAGTGTCAGACTGACCAGCCTTACTGAAGAGACCACTTCCTTCCCAGCTACTGAACTTCTCCAGAAAGCCAATTTAATTAGAGGTCTTGCAGCTCTACCGGCTGCTTTTCAGGCAAGATTACTTGGGTGAAAGTAGGTCATAACTGAGAGGGATTTCTTATTAAAATCCCAGTTTTCTTCCACCCACTATTTGCTGCTACATTTAAAGACAGGAAGAAACTTCCTGTACCCGTGCACTGATGTACAAATCTGTTTATGTGGCAGATTATGTGTGTGGGCATATGCACAAACTGTGGACACACACAAACACAATATTTCACGGGATGTTGCGGTTATCCGTCTTGCCTGATGGTTCTTGGCATCCCTCACTATGTTGATTTTGTGTCTTTTTAATGAAATGAATTCAGCACTGCAGCACTCCACTGACACACACATATGCACATACATACAGACTTTTAGACCCAACTGTACATACACTCACCTACAGGCAACAGTAAGAACGCAGGTCTTCAAAGTCAGTTCAGTTATCTTTTTGTTTTGTCTGATGCTTCTGAATATGAATTCACATCACATTCAGTGTGTGAACTTGGGCTTTTTCTGTATCACTCCAACATGACAAACAGCATTTTATAAGCCTCTTGTCATACAGATGTCTTACCACTGTGTAAAAACCCACCTCATGTCTGTTAGTATCACAATATCACAGTTAAGTTTTGTTCAGCTGTGAAATCTCACTCCCTCTGTAGACAAGAAGAACACTTTGGTGCACTTTTCCTTATAACAGACCCAGAAACATGTGTAGTGTTTAATTAAACACAGCTTGGATCATAAAACATCAGTCATACTGTGGGTGCTGAAGTTAATACTTACAATATACTGCAAATTCTCCTCCAATAAGTGAGTATGCACTGCTGATGTTTAATGTATCCAACATGAGTTTGAAGCTGCTTACACTTTCCAAAAGCAATGATGTGGGTTTTGGTTTTATATTGGGGAGGTGGGGATATGAATGCAAATGTGCGGATGGGGGTGATTTGCTCAAGTGTTCTTGGTTTTAATATTTTGCTACGCTTAGAAACTCAGGTAAAGGTTGAAGGATAAGATTAGTCATACCTTCGTCATTACTTGACCCTGTGAAGTAGGTAGCTCTTAGAATCGACCAAATGCCTTGTTTGAGACATTTTTTACTTTGAGAAAAATGGTACTATCAGTGGTGTACCACCCCTTTTTTTGTAAAATACTCATTTTCATGTTTTGCTTTTGCATTTGATTCCCTTTACTTATTATACATGTGCTGTGCTTTTCTGTACAAAATGTACACATTTTAAATTACTATCTTCCCAATCTGGCCAAAGCTGAAAGTCTTGCAACTCTGAGAAGATGTGCAATGATTTTAGACCGTGACTACTTGTCTATAAAATATGTATAAAATATGCTATCTGTATAGTAGTTTGCCTGGACTGAGTGGTACAAAATGTGGTCAGTAGGGAAATTAACCTGCATAACATAATGGGTTGTATACTTGGACCTCAAGTCAGACTCCACTGGGCCCTTCACTTTACACTCTGTATTTATCTGTGCCAATTAGCCCAACTGACCCTATTCACCAACTTGGTGGTGTGTTTCACGTGATAACAATGCTAACGCAGCCTTTATCTCTCTTTTTTTCCCTCTCATCCAGACTCTTACTTATTGCTAGAGAAAATCTTGTAGTGCTGTAGCTTTAGGCACTCTCTTATGTGCCCCATGCCTGTATATTTGCTGAAGGATGCATGATGTTAGTGGTGCTCATCGGTTGATTGGACACCTCAAAACATGGCAGTTCAGTGGGCAATACATTCCTCCTTGTATTGTCAGTCTTATTGTTTAACACCTGAGTGGATTAACTGTCAAAATCTCAGAAGGATCAGGCCGTTTGTTGGTATTCTGAGGCGTTGACACTCGGATGTATTATGCATAAAATGTGTCATAAGAATGTAGAGTGTTTCACAAAAGCTGCTTCCCTGGAAGATTTATTACAGCCAAAGGGGAAGCCCTGTTATTTTCCGGCCTTGGATCAGCCCCACCCAAAGTTACCCCAAGCTCTGAGGCTTTGATTTCAGCCGATGTCAGCACCACTTCATGACTCGATTAAGTGTAAATAGGTGTTTTTAATATTGCAGAGCGGATGCAGTTGAGGTTAACTGACTTCTTTCTCATCAGCTGGCCTCAGTGTGATCTCTGCAAGTGAGAATTTGCAAGCACTTTGGGTAATGAACATTGCTGTGAATACTTCGATATGTATTAAGCCTTTTAGACTTAGTTTACAAGGACTGAATTCATGAGTCCCAAACAAGGATGAAACCACTGAAATTGTACTGAAAAGAACACATCTGTTTAGATCTACAGTAGGTTTAGAAATCAGTGATATTAATGTTTGTGCTGATACAATAGGCTATGTAAGATAACAGTCGAGATGTAGACAGTTCCCAGTTTGTCCCTGCCTTTAAAATTCCCTTTTTTTATAGTAAATGTTATATGACAATGAGAATTTTCACTTTGACCAAGCAGCATGCAAAACCTTTGTGGATGCTCAGGAGAGAACTCCATCCTTATTTCCCTGGCTGTCTGCTGGCATTCAGGCATTTTTCTTGATATTACTGACAACAAACAGGCTTTATTATTCTATGAATGATGTAATCAGAGACACAGGATGATGAGATCTAACCTTAATTTATTTCCCCTGCATCAGGCAACTGGGGAAAGATCATACCTGATTAAATATCATTTCAGAAAGGGATTGAGCATGTAGTGAGTGTTGTTTGATCAATACTCCTCTCCGATCCCAAATGGGTACAGCCAGCTGGTGGCAGTTTTCTGTAGCCAAGTATGACGGGGGAAAAAAAATCTATTGTAGGTTTCTGTAGCTCCTATCAGCATCTGGATTAAATTTGACCAAAGCTAAAAATCACTTGAACAGCTGATTGCTCTCAATCTTGATGCCACTATGATTTTTTTTATTGAAAATGTCTAACCTTGTTTAAAAAAAATAAAAGGCCCAGTGTGAAACGGTGCATGAAACCCATCCCATGGATCTCACCTGGGGCCACTAAATGAACTAACTGTTCGCTAAAACCTGCCACCCTTAGTGTTTGTTGCTTTGTCATTTTCTCTGTTCTTCAATGATAGCCGTGGGAAATTTACCTTGAAATTCACAATATTTATTGTGTGTCTACATTTGCAGCTCAGATAAACAAAGTGATTTAGCCGTTCCTGACACTTTAGCTCAAGTGTGTTTGGTTTTGTAAAAGATAAATAATTGATCTATTTCGATCATATTAGAGCCCCGTGCACATCGTTTGAGCATGTGGAGAAATCCAAAGCTTCACAGGCCTGCCGTGCCTAATTGTATTCGCTAAGCTATGATTGGACAATCGTTATTTTGGGGGGGGGGGGTGGCAGGCATCAGTGAATGGTCAGTTAGCTGCAAACAAAACATAGACTGCACCAATTTTCACAGGCAAAAAAGAACCTTAAAATTCAGTGTACAGTAGTTTTAATCAGTCTGTCTGTTCGTCAATATTCGTCAATACCACAGAACAGATTGGAGAGTAAAGCTGCCAGTCAAACTATGTGATTACCACCTTTACCACTTCCCAACCCAGCCCAGCCCAACCATCTTAAGACTACTAGGAAATAAAACCTTAGTAGTCAGCGTCTCAGCTTAAGCCTCGTGCCTCAGCCAACAGGCTTTTCTGCCTTAAAGAAACAGAATGTGTACATGTAGGACATTGATAATCATTCACTTCAAATCCTGAATCTGTAACAGATTTATCCGGAGGATTGTAGATTGTCCTACAGATTGTGGAGTTCTGTTCCCAGTCAGACGACGTCCCTGCTCACTTTATCATTGTGGCTGAAAAGACTTTCAACGTTGCCTC